GGCTTTTTTCTTTTTGCTTATGTGGTGCTGAGGAATCGAACCCAGGGCCTCTGGCATGCAAGGCAAGCACTCTACCACTGAGCCACCTTCCCAGCCCAGTAGCACCCTTTTCTAAGGAGCTACTTTGTGTGTGTGTGTGTGTCCTGATACTTGAACTCAGGGCCTGGTTGCTGTTCCTGAGCTTCTTCTTTTTGTGGGTTGTGGGGCTTGAATTCAGGGCCTGGGTGTTGTCCCTGAGCTTTTTCCACTCAAGGCTAGTTGTTCTACCACTCTGAGCCACAGATCCACTTCTGGTTTTCTAGAGGGTTAACTGGAGATAAGAATCTTACAGACTTTCCTGCTAGGGCTCGCTTAGCACTTCGATCCTCAGATCTTGGCCTCCTGAGTAGTGAGGATTATATATGTGAGCATCTGGCTCCCAGAGCACTTTTGTTCCAGGCTAGCATTCTACTACTTGAGCCACAACTCAACTTCTAGCTTTTCTGGTTGTTAATTGGAGTTAGGAGTCTTTCCTATCTCAGACCATGATCCTCAGATCTTAGCTTCCTGAGTAGCTAGAATTATAGGCATGAGCCACTGACCTGGCTCAAAGTAACTAGCTACCTTTGAAGGCTTTTGTTTCTAAAAAGTCAGTTCACAATTAAGATCAGACTATATATAACCATGCTACAGAAAAATCTAAAAGAGGAACTCAAATGATTTTATGCAATGTAACATCATCAATGTGAGTACTATGAAAGAGGTAACATTCAGCTGCAAATGTATAGACTTTTTTTTTTTTTTTAAGAAAGGAAGGGAACACAGTGGCATGCACACCTGGAGGCCTGTTTACTCCAGAGGCTGAGGTGGGATGACAGTCTGAACCCATGAGTTATGCCTAGCCTGGGCAACACAGTGCGACTCCCTCTCAAAACAACAACAGCAGTTACATTCTTTAGGTTACCTATACAACCTTTCACTCATTCAAATATATGCATATTTATTCAGTGTGCCTCCCATATTTTCAACTTAAGGTCAACTCATGCTTGAAACATGCATTTCTAACTCAATACCCGTCTTCTCTCAGGTTTTCAAATCAATCTTGTGATTAAAGAGTTTTAATTTACTGGGAGACTGGTTAAGGGAAAAACCTCCACGGGTTGGAGACATGGCTCAGTTGGTACCGTGCCAGCCAATGAACAAAGTCCCGGTCTTGCAGCAACAAGGAGAGAGACAGAGAGAAAGGCGGGGGGGTGGGGAAGAAGTATTAAAAAAAGAAAACTTCCATACAAGAAGAAGATTGGAACATGCAATTATTCTAATTCATCCAGTTCATACTTGAAGGGTGCTGGGAAGCTTTGGAGAAAGGCAAATGTGAGTACAATGATTAGCTCTTCCTAGAGGAGAGGTCATGGAAAAAGAACAGTCTATACAGCAGACTTCAGTGATGCTGGAGTCTGATAGCAGAGATAGGAAGAAGAGCTACAGTTGCCCAAATGCTCCATGAGCTATACAGAACTGTCCTTTACTATATCCCCAGCACTTTGAACAATGCGTACCACTATATAGTCACTCAATAAATAAATATCAGCTCACTAAATAAATGAAAAAAAATTTGGGTGCTAGTACTAGACTCGAACTCAGGGCCTTGCAATCTTTCTGGCTTTTTTGCTCAAGGCAGATGCACTACCACTTGAGCTACCCCTCCAGTTCCTGAAAGAGAAATGTTTTCTGAGGGAAATTACAGAATCTGAGTACCCACTGTCTATAAGTGATGATGGATACAAAATAATTTAAAGACATACATTATTTATGTATATACTCACATGTGTATCCTATTAAATACTGCACTTGGGAAACCTTAAAACTGAAAGTAGTGTAAACACCCAAATACAAGGTGATAATAATCGCGTTTAGTTTAGTATGAGCTATAGAAATGTATAATGGACAGAGTGTTTCTAGCATCACACACACACACACACACACAAATCTGAGCAGAAGAGAGTTTTGTTACAAATGTGAGGAACTCACTGTGAAAATGAAAAGTGCCAAGGGACACTTACAAAACAATCCACAAAAGCCAGTACTCTGACTGAAATAAGGATAACTGGGCAATCTCTCCGGCTAGGAGCATATTCCAGAAGCACCGAACTCTATAGGGGAAACGTCTCAAAAGAGAAATAATCATCGTGGTTAAAAAAAAAAGGGGGGGGAGGAAGAACGTGGGATGAGAAATGGTCTGGCCATTTGTCCCCCGACAGGAAAAACCATGGATGCAAGGGACCAAAGCCCTGTTTCATTTGGTAACCTGCTGGTCACGAGCCAGTCAGATGAAACTCCAGTGACTAAGGAGTCGGGCAGCGGGAGGCCGGGTGGACGTGGGACGGGCTGTGCAGCCGGAGGCGTGTGCGATCTACCTTGTTTTGACTTTGGGAGGCGAGAGGCACTTATTTCCAATAAAACAAGCCACAGCCTCTCTAGGATAGGGCCGCGGGGACACCACCCGAGAGAAGACCCTTCTGAAGCCTTCTGAAATCGCGCGGGTCCGGACCTGGGGGGGGGCGCCCCGCTCAGCTCCCAGGAGACAGGGGACATCCACACCCCCGCCCCGCTCCCGACGCCGGCCGCGGCCACCGGCGGCGCAGCCTTGAACACAGAACCCAGACCAGGTCGAGTCCGCCAGCGGAAACCCCAGGGCGTCCAGACGCCGCCGCCCCACGGCGCGCGACATCCTCCCGACGCCCCGCCGGGCCCCCGGCACGCCGGGCCCAGCCTCCGCGGGCCGTTGGGGTCTGGGCGGGGAAGGGAGGCCCTTACCCATGTGCTGCGTGTCCAGCTGCACGGCCGGCATCTCCTTCAGGGGGATGTGGCCGGTCCCGCCGTCCCTGCAGCACCGCAGGCAGCAGAAGACCGACGCGGCCATAGCTCCAGGACTACCGAGCTGCCGCCGTCCCTTGGTCGTAGCGACAACGCCCCCTCCCCACCGCTCCACCCCGCCTCCCGCCCCCTCCCGAGCGCCCGCGCCCACCGGAACAGCGACGCCCGGGGCTGGGAGGCGCAACGCAGGCCCAGGCACGTCGGGCCTGGGAGAAGCTGTGGACCGGAGGGCGCGGCCGCTCAGGGAGGTGGGCGGGACCAGCGGCGTGACGGCGCGGAGGAGGCGTGGTTGGCGGGCGGGAAACGGCGTGCGCCTGCGCACTCTGCATCCCTTGGGATGGCCGTGTGCCCGCCCCCCACGCTGACAGGTGAGTGAGGTGGTCGGTCGGTCCTTACCGTTGGGGTTCTCAGGTGCTGGTTTTGTTTGTTTGTTTTCTTTTTGAGACTAAAAGTCTCACCTAGTTGGCCCTGCTTGGTGAGCTCCTGGACTGAAGTCATCCTCCCGCCTCAGCCTCCACGCGGGCGGGTGCCACCCAGCTGGATGCTGTGTGTGAAAAACTGCTTTCCTGTTCCGTCATCATTTCTTTTTATTTGGGCAGATTGACAGAAACGGATCGATCTGGGGGGCGGGGAGCTAAGCACACACCCCTCCCCCCGAGGGCCCCCCCCCCCGGAGCCGAGCAGCCGTTTCCTCCCCGAGGCTCCCGGGCTGGGCTTCGGAATGGGCGGCCCCGCGCCGAGGCCTGCGGGACGGCGCCCCGCGCCACCCCGGCGATGCGGGGGCAGAGGTGCCGGTTCCCGGGTCCTGGGTGCCGAGTAGCGCTGGAAATCACTTTGGGAGAGGAGAGACGACCCTGAGTCTGGCGGGGGCCGCTTCTGAGGAAGCCATCTGCTGCCCCGTCGTCGGTGCCCGGGAGTGTGGAAGGAATCCCCCCGCGGCCGGGGCCAGGCTGTTGGGGCCTCCAAGGAAGCTCCTTCCCGCTTCCACGTACAGAGTGTACATGGCTGGGGCTGGGAAGGTGGCTCAGTGGTAGAGCGTTTGCCTTGCATGCCTGAGGCCCTGGGTTCGATTCCTCAGCACCACATAAGCAAAAAGAAAA